TTTTCGTCAACCATAATATGTAGGACAAATTTGAAAAAAGATTTAAAGAGCTGGAAGAATTTTCAAACTGATGTAATATAATATCTATAAAAGTTCTATCGAAATCTCTGAAACTAGGGTTTCTGGAAACCAAGTCTCCGAATTCGATCTAGAAATGTTTTCTCTCTGTCGTATACAGAAAAAAACACGTAGAGAGCTCGCAGGCGTCTCATTTTGTTCAAAAATATTTGCTCTATACGACGGGGTTATTTGCAACGAATTTCTAGATCGAATTCGGCGATAACCTAAGTTTCCATGTATGTTTCCATGTTCTTTAGGCTTGATATGGTTAAGTATGCAATAGACCATGAAATATGTGTAGCTCTAAATTTCTTTTCACAAAGAAAAAAGTTTAAAATTTAACTTGCAGAATTTGTTCAAAGTTCCAGCCGTCTAACTAATGAATTAGTAAAACCTACAAAGGGCAAAGGGGAAGCTGCTGACACACATACTTCACTCTCGTTAGAACTCCGAGCAAGGTAACATATCTCTAAATGAAATGTATCTTGATTCCGTTGATTTTAACTATTTCTGGATGGTCTGTATTCCTTGTAAGGTGCTCCAAATTCAAACGTAAAGTACTATTTTATTTTTGGCTTAAAGATACATCATTCGATGCAGTTTTCCACGCTGATCACGAATATCTTCCTTTCAGTCCACCTGGTACACATTTTCTACGAAAGAAAATCAAAACATTGAAGGGGCCCGTTCTTTTTGAAAAACGATGGTTTTTCAAAACTCAGACAACATCTCGCTGCCACGTGGTTCTGGAACCTTCTTAACGTATTGTTCGAAACCAGCGTGAAAAACTGCATACAGGGAAGTGTATTTCAAGATTCCAGAGTCATGAAAGTGGTCGATCTCTCGTCAAACTTTGGACGGCTTCGGTTTCGATCCTATTCGCTCGCAAACCTATCTAGTTTTTTCTGCAAATAGATGGAGTCTTGATCCTGACGCCATTTGAACCGCCTTGGAACGTAGAGTAAAAATACGTATCGCGTTTTTTGAAATTCCTTTCCGTTGCTGAAAAAAGTCATTTTTTCTCAATCAGAGACGAAAAAGTCAGAATTCTGCACCTACTATCCGTTCCAAAATACAAGAGCATCGGTTGCTTTTTGAATAACTTTTGATAGGTAATAGATAGAGAGGTGAGGTTTTCAGTTTTAGAAACTAGAGACCTGAGCCCATGTTTCTATAAGCGGACGCGTTTTTTTACATGGGTATGTAGCTACAAGTGTTCTCTAAAAAATGGGAGTCAAGCGAGACCTAGATTTTCTACGGCTCTGGCGTTGTACCGGATTTCCTACTAGTCCCAGGACTGACACCTGGTGGCTCTTCGTAACCTTGAAAGCCAATGGACTATAGATAATCGATCATGCTGAGTCTCGTGGCAATATTTGCTTTTAGAAAAAGTTTAAAAGTCTATCGAAAAAGGGAGTTTTACGAAAACTAGGGTTTTTAGGCTGTTTTCACCTAAGTTTTTAAAAATTCACTATTCACTCAAAATACATCAGAACGAGCTCAAAACTTCGGTATGTGAAGCATTTAGGCTACTCTGTATCCTATTTACAGGAGATCCAGAAAGAGATTTTATAGAACTCTAATGCTTTCCGAAAGGGTTTCTGGAAAAGCCATTAATAAAAATATGATTTTTCCATTTTTTCGATCTTATAATCAATAATTATAATTTATAATTTAGCGGACAGAATTGATTATATCCTGAAGCTTTGAACTCGTTCTGATGTACTTTGAGTGAATAGTAAATTTTTTAATATTAGGTGAAAACAGTCCGAAAACCTTAGTTTTCGTAAAACTCTAATCTGAGTTTTGATCTGATTTTCCAAAGACCTCCTCAAAAACCAACTTGAAAATATTTAAAAAAGAAAATGTATACATGAAATTCGTACATAAAACCCTAGTAAAAATCTTAGACACGTCTTAAAATTATCTTACTAAGATCTTATAAGATCTTATTCTTTAAGATTTTGATCAGATAATCTAAGATCTTATCGTTTAAGATCTTAATAAGATTTAATGACTCTACTTTCATTCATCCTTTTTTTTTGCTCTCATTCATCTATATAAGTAACACCGAAAATATGAGCGATTTTATGGTTATTTTTCTTTCAGACTCCGCTAGTATTTGCTCTCTCGAAAGTGTTCAACAACTTTTTTTGAGAGTCTGCTGCTTTGGATAATGCGGATTAAAAATTGAAAAATTTTTAGCATATTTCTAATGAATATTATTTAAAAAACATCGTCGTTCTTACTATTAAGATCTCAACAGATTCTTATCCAATAAAATTTTAGACAGTATAATCTTGGTAAGATCTTTGAAAAAACGTATTAAGATCTTAGTAAGATTTCTCTTATATTTGTCTCAGGTCTTAGAAAAATCTTATCAAATCTTAGAATTTTCCGGTCTCACGATCTTAGTAAGATTCGTTTAAGATCTTAGACAAATATAAGCGGAATCTTACTGAAATCATAACAAGATTTTTCGAAGATCTTAGTAAGATTTGAGTAAGTTTTTCACCACGGAAAACGAACATATGAAATAGTTCGTCTGCCGGTAAGATGCAGCGAATGCAAAAATGACGCAAAATGTTTTCGTGAAACTTATGATACACCATTGGATAGCGAAACTCGAGCTGAATACGAATATGTGATTTAATTTTTTTCAGTCGCTTTTCTCGCGTCAAAAAAACTCGAAAAGTGTCAAAAATCGAAAAATCGTTCGTTTTTGTTAATGTTTAGTTTTTCGATTTCCGTTCCAACGTACAGTGTTCAAAGTATGTTTTTCTGATTCAGCACCAAAAATTGAATTAGAATATGGTGTTAGACCCACTTCAGAGTTAAACACTCGGTCCGAATGGACAGGTGCTAAAAAGGTATGAGTCATTTTGTACACCTATCTGGCTTTTTGGGTGAAGGACTGGAGGTACGATTTATACTCATAATATCTGCCAACTAGGTATGCACCAGTACCGGTACCAATAAAAGTGCTCCACAAAAGTTTAAGATCTTTTTTCTTTTTGCAATAACTCAACTTCCTTGATAGATACAGACTCCGTTCTTTTGCCAAAAGAAAACTTACGTTGAGTACTATAAACCCTGAGAAAATGGTAAAGTTTCGGCTTAATTTGACTGAGCTAAAGCAATAACGCGGTGTTTTACACAATTGGAAAATCTTACATCCTGAGTATTTCACGTTTCCTAACCTAGAGAATTGCGCGAAAAAAATTCAAAAACACATCATTCGATAGAAAAGTTTACGGGCTATCAGTTGCTGATCAAACTTTCAGCTTTTGAGCATGTCTTCACCACCAAAATCTTGTTTTAGTTACAGCTAGTCCAAAAAATGGAAAAACCTCCATTTCTCCGCTCACCTTTGTTTTGAAAGTTGATTTTCAACCTATCTCCTTATAGTGTTTGAACTAGACACTTGATTCTTGCGTGGCCTAATTCGCAATTTTCTCGATCACATATCAACTTTCACGAAAACTTGCGAAAATGTTATATTCGCAATCATGTAGAAAATCGAGTCGAAAGACGTACTTTTTTAATCTTATATGATCACTTTAATTTTGTTTTGTATTTCCGCGCCGAAGAATTAGTGAGATTTTTATAAAAAATGAAGATCAACGAAAAACTTTGAAATGTATAGCATTCGAGTCGATTTTCGACGCTGATTACGAATGCAATATTTTCATTGCATGAAAGTTGATGTCTGGTGGAGAAAATTGCGCATTCGGATCAGAATTTGGATTTCTCCCAGTATAGTCGTCTTTTCTGAACGAGGAAAAGGAGTTTAAAAAAAAGCATTTTATTGCTTTGAAGAGGAGCACTCCTGGAATCTAACCACGCAAGAATCAAGTGTTGAGTTCAAACACTAGAAGGAGATAGGTTTTGAAAATGAGAACCGGTTTCTGGCCGTTTTTTCCCAGACGTCCATGGCGAGTAGAGGCTTGAGTCTGAGTCTGGGATCGTCTTCAAGTTCAGTTTTCAATGCCCAACAAGAATATCATAGTTAAAATTTTCAAAGTTCTAACGCGACTTTGAAAATCAACTTTCAAAACAAAGGTGAAACTCAGGTTAGCGAGCTCCTTCGAGTGTTGTCGATTTTTCGACCAGAAAATTCAGGGAACACATATTCGTGATCCTCAACATCTCATTTATTCGAATATGTGATAAAAAAGAAAACAAAATCCACCACTCCTCTACGTTAGGCGCATTTTACAAATTGCATGTATATAGAACATCCAGCTCTTTGAACAGTTTTCTGTTGATGAACCTAGACGCTTCAAAACCTTAAAAATGAAGATAAAAAGTGTTAATAATTCAATATAGCATGTACTACATACTATATAGAATCGCATTGAACAATACAAAACCACATGTTTTTTTATCGGTTTTTCCTGAGTTCAGGTTCATTCAAAATTTTTCTCAAGTTCAGTCCAGTCCATTGACTAAAAGAATCTAGTCTAGTCCAGTTCTAGTCCATGAACTCAAAAAAATTTCAGAACAGTCCATACGGAGATCTGGTGTGTATGATTGGGATGCGATAAAGGAAACAAAATTCAGTTTATAACAATTATTCCACACTTATGAAAGACTAGGGAACATTTCTTAACTTTCTCTTCCATTGTCAGAATGTCTATTTTCTTTACCCATATGATGGAACTTTTGCATTCAGCAAATTACAAAAACAACAGCGGCAAGCAGCATTTTTTGGCTGAGAAAATTTTTTGCAGAAAAATAGTAGCTGCGTGAGAGAAACAAATTTAGTTTCGAGGTTCTTCACTCTCACGCCGGCGAGTGGAAAAGTTTGCGCTGCCGCCGCCGCCAATCGGACAGAATGAAGACGCCGCCAATCATTTTTTATCGGCGCACATGTCTGTACGCCAAAATACGCATAGTCTTTAATGATCATTTATTAAATGTTTGTTTCAACAAAAAAGTTACGGGTTTGCTAGTGAGCATACATCTGTTGATGTTAACTCCCTGCTATAAAGTCTGAATTCATCCACAGCACCTAAATATTGACCTTGTACAATATTTCCTGAGGCACATGTGAGTGATCCTGAAATCAATCCAGTCGTAATATAATTTTGTGCAAGACTTGCAGAATAGGTGGAAACTGTTGTTGATATATATAAATAACCATTAATATAGAGTTGTAAACCATTTGTCGGACTAAATGTTTCAACAATATGCGACCAGATATTGATAGCCAACACTGGACCATTTACGAAAACAACGGATAAAGTGTGATCATACACTTGAGCAACGATTGCTCCAGACGCTGAAAATCCAATGAATGGTATACACCAACCCATACCTATAAAAAGCTCGTAAAATTAGTCCCACAATTTCCTCTGTAATTTTTTCCAAAAGTTTTAATATTCGTAATACTAGCCTCAGACTAAAAATTTGTAACTCAGTCAAAATTTTTCCAAGCTGTTTGAGAATATCAACATATACTTCATTTCGTCTGGTTAACGTTAATCTGTATTTAAACTATTCTGTAGTTCTCCGAGCTTTCTAAAAAACCTTTTAAAAGCGAAGTACTTTCTGTTGATTTCTAAAACTTTTGCTGAACTTTATGGTGCAGTGCAGAGATAAAGATCTTGCTAGGTTCAACTTTTTTGAAAAAAACATTTTCACGAGTTTTAGCATGGTCAAACACCTATCCTTCCATTCATTTTCAAGGATCACAGACATAAAAAATGACACTTCTTCAGCTTCCAGGGAAACCTAAACCATACGGTATGGTTTCTGGTGGAGATCTCGAACTTGTGCAGATCGATGAAGGATTGTCTGATAGATGGAACCCATTTCTCGGCATTGAAAATCCTTTGACAAACTACCCTTACAAAACCAGGTAAGGGATATCGCCTGTAGCTGGTGTCCCGAATCGACTTTTTATGATCTTGTCCAGTTAGGTCTTGGCTACACACTGGTGAAAACCTACAGCCCCTAACCGTATTACAAAAACTTTCATCCGCCTTCTGTTTTGTGATGGATAGTAAACTTACATATATATTTTCGAAAAAATACATGTATACTAAGTTTTCGACGAAAATACATTGCCACAAGACTTTAAGTCTACTGAAGCTTTTATGAGCCTCCTAAGCTAAGAATTTTTCGTTACCGTTTGCTTGTGATGATACATGCACAAGTGTGCCGAATAAAGAACTTGGTTTGACCCAAAATGCAATCGAAAATGGATCATTTGATTGGCCTAGTCCTGTTAAACCCGGCACTTGAAAATAAGAATTGGCTGTGGTCAATAATAAAGCCTGGTTCACACGTCCAGATGACGAATATGTTGATCCAAATGCTGAAGTGGTTAAAGCGTTAGGACCTGAATCACTGAGCGTGTTATCAAAAGAAAAATACGCAACCAACGTGGCGTCGTTGAAAATCTCACAAGCAGTTTTTGCTCGGCTGCTAACTGACAGATGATCGATATAACCACCATAATAATTGTCCAATGCTAAACCACCGCCTACTGTTGCACCACCTATTGTTACACTGCCAGATGTGGTTAACAATGCCCCAGCACCTGTGTGAATACCATCGAGAACACCATTCAAATAGATTAATTGTGTTGTTGCTACATAATCATAAACAATTGCTGCATGATACCATGTATTCAACAGTATGATGGTATTTCCCTTTAAGTCGTCATTGAAAAAACCAAGATATAAATTAGAATTCGATATCACGAGAAACAGACATTGCTGCATAGAACTTGACACATATTGTCCAAAAAGTGCATAATTCGCTCCGTATGAATTTGTTGTCCAATAAAACCAAAGTTCAACAGTAAAACTACTTTGGTAAAAATTCATATAAGGGGCTGATAGACGCTGTGATAGTGTGAAAGTAAAGCTAACGGCATTTCCAACATATCCCGTAACGTATGTTGGGCTAGTGATTCCTCCAGCATTATACAGCCCAGTTGTATCATTGACAGTTGAATCAAATGAATAAAATGCCAATCGTAATGAGGTTGAAACTGCGGTGTTGACGCAACTTGAGGCACAAATAACTGTTGTTACGGACGTTGTGGTAGTAGTGGTAGTAGTTGACGTTGTAGTTGTTGTTGATACAGCTGTAATGAATGAGCATGAGCAGTAATGACTGGAAAACTAGAGCGTGTAATGACTTATCTACTAGAAATGTAGAGCCATACACTGAATGTGTGTAAGACTGTATCCACGAAACAGCTTTTTCTGTGAACGGAACAGAGCAAATGATTGATATCATCATAATAATGCAGCGTTAAAGTGTTTTGTAGTAAGTTCTAGAAAATTTAGTTAGATCAAACTTACTTGTTGTCGTCGTTGGAGAGGTCGTACCTATGAACAAGGACACTTAACAGACAGAGACAAGAGAGTGAGTGATTAAACAGGTTCTCATTAACTAGACTAACAAGAGTAACTTACTAAGAGATCATTTTGGTTTAAATCATATGCAAGTCTGTCAAATTCTTCTAGCTAGAAGAGCTTGCCTTAGGTAGAACACATTTACATATAAAAGAAAAATTCGGTTCAAGCTGGCGAATAAAAAATCTTTGTTGGATACAGAACAGAGTAAATGGCAGGCGTCTATTAACACTTCTAATCAAGTTTACGTACTTGTCGTTAAACATGCATCAAACCAAGCCAGTCGAAATCAAGCGGCTTGATAATAGAGTGAATATGAAATTAAGTAACCCGCATACTGATTTTCTCTCACGCTGGGGAGATCACACTGGGCTTTAAAAACTTTAAGATGCTAAATCGAAAAGTAGCTTTTAATTTTAACTTTTCAAAGTTAAATTGATCATTTCATCTTGCGCATTCTTTCTAGGCTTTCACCCGCTACAGTTATACCCCTAACTTTTACCTTACACATTTGCGCCAAGTCTCACAGAGGTATAAAGCCACTAGAACGGATTTTAGATTTCTAACTCATCCATTTTTCTTGCCGGTAGAGACCTCTACAAGTTATTTGCTGTGCGTAAGATTGCAAGATAGGCGAAAGCGGTAACTAAGCTCCACTGGGAAGCAATGAGAATTAACAAAACTGAACAAGACTTGATATAAATCAAACAATTCAACGAAAATACTTCTTGGTGAGAAAAAGTTTCAGGCATGCGCAAAATCAGTCACATGAGAGCGCAATCACCCTTGGTGCATAAGCGCACTCCGCTCCGAATAACTTGAAATGAGCGCGCATGACAAACTTAGGCTATATGTCGAGCTTTCAGTGCATGCTTGAACTTGATGCATCCTACTTGTTGTAGTAGAAGTTGTTGTTGCAGTTGTTGTTGTTGTGGTTGTTGTTGTTGTGGTTGTTGTAGTTGTTATCGTTTCTAATGTTAGCTTGTAGCTCAAAACTATTGGGACTGTGATTACAATTAAACATAATAAAAACAGCAGACAGATGAAGCCAATGCTACAGCATATAGTTGAGGTTAGATGACAGCCATTTCTCAAACACATAAATGTAAAACCTGATATTAAATTACATAAATATCTACAATATATTTTTACCGTATTGGTTTTATAAAACTCTGTTTAATTCGTTCGATGAGAGATATTTGAGAATTAGATGACCAAGAAGTTCGCCGTATTACTGATTGGGTTTGTTGCTGTACATCAGAAGACCAAATAAAATTTGGATTTGTTGCTATACTTATATTCAATTCTTGATCGCTCGACTGAGAAAAAATCCAAAATAACTACTACTTATTCTAGAAATAACTATACCAGATTTCCCTTCGACTTACTCCTGTCTCTCTAGCATCAGACATCCAAGATGACAGGAATGGAGAACTGGAAGACTGGTTCAGAATCGGCGACATGTTCATATTCCGCTAAAATGCAAATACAAATTTGTGTACCCTACTTCCAAGAATATTTTTAACTTACCGTATCCTGGCTCATATCGGTCCATAGATAAGAGGATGGATTGGTTAAAAGCCATTCATTTCCCAGTCTTCTTGACGATAACATAGCTCTAGAACTAAATTCGAAAAAACACGTTTATTGTGATATGTACTCAATTTTCTTTTATAACACCGGTTCACAACAAGCTAATGGTCTCGGGTGACAACTACATCGATTTTCTATACATCAACTATGGATGTTTATGCAACATCTTAGTTTATTCAAACCAAAATCTTTTTAAATTGTTTAACTCCAAATCAAGTGTGTGATATTGTATCTAAAAGTAAGCCAACTGATAGTTGAGGATGTCCTTAGCACAGATTTTATGGTAATTAACTAGCGCCGTATTTAGACATATTCGGTGAATTATTTGCGATGTAGGTACGTTTATGTAATAGCTGTTTGATTTTAATACCTATACGTTATAAAAATTTATTTTTACAGATACGAAAACTTTAGTTTATTTTTTACAAAGTACAAATATATTATTTAGTTATTAATATGAAGCTCTTTAATATATTAAAAATACTGCTCTTTTTTCATCCTATCAATTTCCAAAATGCAAAAGGCAACACAAGTGTAAATAATAAAAAAAATCAATTATTTTTTTTTTAATAGTCTTACACCACTTGTGTAATTATTATGTTTTTTATTGGGGGCTTCGATTCTACATATGAAACTGTGAAAATGAAAAGATGTTTAAACTTTCAGACTTTATTTTGACTGAGTTATAGAAAAGCCCCGTGAAGTCGTCCGAAGATTTCTCGAAAAAGCACTGTCTCCAGTATTTGCAAATAACTCAATCCAATTCTGTTCAATCTGTTCGAACAACATCTCATTCAAAAGAGCATATAAAGCTGCAGTGATCAAATTACTTTTTCATTTTTTAGACGTGAAACTGAATTTTTATAATTCACATGAAGCGAAAAGTCATGATTTTGAAAAGTGAAATTCTTCGTATAAAACGTAATTATCTCTCGACCGTTAAGTTATTGCAGTCTAGACTTTATGACATCTTGTAGAGCTTTCAGTTCTCTACAAAATTAGACGTGAAACTTTGTCTAAAGGTCTGGGTCTCATGCCGAAAAATTCGCTACAACCAGTTGTACTATCACTACCGCTGCGACAGTTTTTTCCAAAAACTTTATTTCTAATAAACGAAAACACACTTTTCATAGAAAATCGATAGTCTTAATTACAAAGCAAGCCAGATAGGACCGATTTGTCACGTATCTAGCTGAAAATTGTTCATTTTTCTTTCTTTTCCTTGACGAGGATTGGCGTTTCAGAGGAATATCAGGGGTAGATATTTGTCTTTTACCAGACGACAGCGGTCGATTTCTCGATGGGAGAGACGGTGACGGCTGTGGCGGAGGTTGCCTTATTCCCATAGCGTCTCGTATTCTAAATCTCTGTGTCACTTCAGTCATTACTTGGTCGTCCTTGAATTCCTCATTATCTTCCTCGTCAATTTCACACCTCCTACTATCCATTTCAAAAAAGAATGCAGTCGGCTGCATTTTGAATAACTCAGGATAGCGAGGTCGGGTTTTCGCGGTTGATAATAGAAAATTTGGGGCTATCCAGCTATGTAACAATAGGCTAACTTTTCGTGATCTTCCAGGGTTTTCCGAAAATCGTCTGGAAAATCACTTTTGGGAAAATTTAGAATTTCTAGTATTTTTATCCGATACGGTTCCCCATCACTTCTTCTACAAAACAAAACCAGACCGAGGTCGATACGATGTTCCGTTCAGGCGCTAGCCTCAATTTACTGAAGATC